CCTTAAGACTAGTTATTAATTCAAAGCTGTTGTAAATGCTTTTCTACTAAACTTATAATACCATTAATGATAAGACATTTGTTTTAGTCTTCAATTAATTATTTATTTATTGCAAAGGAATGCCGTTTGCAGGGAATGTCCAAACATATGACTCCTGTATCCCCTTTAATGTCGACTATAAGACAAAGTCATTGTTTTAATGGCAGAGAAGATAATAATAGAAGAAATGATTGCAACCAAAAAGCCTTATATAATGAATTTGCGAAAAGCATTTCTCGTAATGAATTGAGGAGTTGTTTGAGCGCATCATTTAATAAACCATTAGACGATTTCGATTTGTGTCATACCATCGCCACAACCACTTCAGGCACTCCTCACACCATCAGTGCCTCAACTCCTGGCAGTTCTGGCCATACAGTCAACGCATTCCATAACAAGAATAAACACATTAAATGGATTTATCCCGACATAAATGACTCCAATTCTAGTTTAGGTATTACTAGTAATGCCAGTCATAGCTCTCATAGCACTCCTATCGCCAGAAATGGTCATGTTACTTTTATTACCTTTTTGTTTGAATCATTCAAACAAATGCCAAGAGATATGAGAAGTGAAATACTTTCTAATCTCAACATTCATTTCCATTTGTGATATTATTTAAAGAGTGAAATAAATTTAATAACTTTTCAAAGCATTATATATATATAGATTAAATCATTATTTTCTATGAACACGAATAATGGCTATTGTGTGAAAAGGTGTACCCAATGTGTTCAATAAGAAATATTTAAGTATATACTTATATAACGTATAAAGTACAGAAATTTATCATGTTTAAACAAATTATAATGATCATATTAACACATTTAAACCCTATTTTATACAATTTTTACCATATATTCTCAATTTATATGTTTATTCAAAATGATACGGATTATTGTTGTAATGATTTATAAAGTAATTGATTTAATGGCAAACAAGTATTGTATGACAAAACAATTGCAACATTTTATACAAATTTGGCGCTATTTATATGACGTTCAGAGAGGGGTTGTTATGACAACATAGATATTAGACATTTAATTGAGATAGAGTAGAACAGAGTACAAGCAAAGCTAGATATTTATAAGTTTTTTACGTGTATTAAGGAATATATTACGAAATACAGGAAAATAGGAAATAAAATGAGGAAAATGTACACAAAAACACATTTATGGCTAAAAATAAGGGGCGAGACGTGTATAGAGATATTTATAAGTTTTTTACGTGTATTAAGGAATATATTACGAAATACAGGAAAATAGGAAATAAAATGAGGAAAATGTACACAAAAACACATTTATGGCTAAAAATAAGGGGCGAGACGTGTATAGAGAGGAGGAAATGTGTTATATAATGACTTTCAACCGCTCTTTAAATACATTTGGTTTAAAATTGAGGCAAAAAATCGGCGAAATTTGTGCCAAAGAAAAACGATAGAAACTTTTGCCAATACATTGCATGCATTGAACGCTTGATATACGATATGATATACAGATGGCATGTATTGTCTCACATGTGGGCCTCACTCTCATAGACAGACACAGTCTGTGGCAAAACGTTTCACTCATTTATTCAATAAGTCTCTCTTCAATTGGTATTGAAATCTCATTACAATTATCATTGAAATTAGCTGTGAGTCCATCGACTGAACTGATAAAACGTCTCAATACAAGACACCAGTCGTTTGGCGCATAAAAACTCGTCAATCAATTGGCTGTAAATGTAAGTGAAATCTCAATCACTATTCAAACAATACAATCAAACGTCAAAATATTGAATAATAATAACAATACAATAGTTTTGTACTGTTTTTTAGACGACAATATACTGTACACAAGTCGTGGTGTGAATCCGTTTGTGTTATGAAATGATTGTCTGATTGTTTTGATAGCATTTATAGTTAAAGGATGTGTGAAATTGAATGTTAGACTCAATCTATGAGATAATGATTAGGAGATTAACAGCGAAAATATGTTAACATTAACTCTCAATACATATGTATTTAAACGTGGTTTCAATGCTATGTCTATTGGGTTGTGATTAACACTTCATTTCATTTCTGATAACATTATTAAACTTTTTTATTGGAGTTATTAATAAGTGTTTGACTATTAGTTGTAATTAAAATGTATAGAAATACTTCATATTTATTATTATCAGTACTAAAGTCAAGGTTTGCTGAGAAACACAGCATTTGGTCAAGACTCAATCTATGAGATAATGATTAGGAGATTAACAGCGAAAATATGTTAACATTAACTCTCAATACATATGTATTTAAACGTGGTTTCAATGCTATGTCTATTGGGTTGTGATTAACACTTCATTGCGATTATTAAAAAGTGTTTCATTTCTGATAACATTATTAAAACTTTTTTATTGGAGTTATTAATAAGTGTTTGACTATTAGTTGTAATTAAAATGTATAGAAATACTTCATATTTATTATTATCAGTACTAAAGTCAAGGTTTGCTGAGAAACACAGCATTTGGTCATCAATTGGTCTCGTCTTACGTCACGTCTCGACGACAAACACCACTCAAAAGCGTTTCATTCAATCGTTTGTTAAACCAATTAATTGTAGATTTGATTTCAAACACAACTGTTGTCTCACAAGTCGTTCGCAACCACTTCTTCGTCAGCCGTCCTCTCAAACAGGGTTTCAATTAAATCAATCGATCCGTCGATCACTCAATACATCCCATACTATGGCCTTCACTACCGATCAAAGAGGACAACAAAACTCATCCGATTATCGCGTTTTCATCAGTAAGTGTCCAATCATTTCACAAATAATAGCATATTTTGATACCCTGTTGTTTTAAACGTATCTAATTGATCATGGTCATCAAAATGAACCGGCTTATTCATATACAATCTCAAATTGAATTTAATTTTCAAGAACTAGTATTTTAAAATTTTTATTCATATATTTTAATTAATCATTTATTTTTTGTTAGTAATTATAGGAAACAAATTGTCATTTCTTTAATGTTTGCAAAATGATTGGCTTTTTTGTTCATAAAAACACATGTAATGTTTAAACACAATACAACTTGTTTTGCATGAATGCAAAGATTTATTTTTGTTGTTTATTTCATATTAAATGTTTGATAGTTTTTGACGAGAAAAACATATTTATAATATTTAGTAATATTTTAAATCAATAATTTGAGATAATTATTGCTATTTTAGGTATTAATACATTAGAACAGAATCTCACCACACGATTGACATATACTTACAGTTAAAGTTTTTAGACAGTAATCGCAATCAATATATGAATTTATAACATATTTTTTACCAATTGTTTGATTGAATTTAAATGAATTTTTAATGAATATTCATTTATAATATGTTTTATTCATTTGAAAGCATAGACTCTTTGATATAATAACGATATAATTAGCTTAAGTCTGATTTATTTGCAAAAGAAAGCCTCCATTCCTATGATTAATGTCTTTGATTTCGATTTTCTTCACTCACTCTTCACTTCATGTCTTGAGTTAATGTTTGTTTGAAAATAATATTTAATTCTTAGGAAAAATTTTATGACAAGATCTCAATTCAATTATTTATATGTTTTTCTATATACGGCTCTAAATCTTTACAAATATATTCATAGAAAAAAATTAGAGAGATTTCCAGGAAATGTATAAATAAAATAAAATTTTAAATCCAATTAACTTATATTGTCTTTTCATAACTCGTTAGTCAAACATCTTATTTAAATTAAAATATAGGAAATAATATGTAAATTATATGATTTGTTATGTAGAGAAGGGCGACACCGGAGAGCCAGTGTCTCCATGGCATGACATCCCTCTGTTCGCTGATGAGGGCAACAGAATCTACAATATGGTGGTAGAGATCCCGCGATGGACTAACGCTAAGATGGAAATCGCGACCAAAGAGCCGCTCAATCCTATCAAACAGGACATCAAAAGTGATAAACTGCGTTACGTTCGCAACTGTTTCCCGCATAAGGGCTATATCTGGAACTACGGCGCTCTGCCCCAGACCTGGGAGGACCCCAAACACTTGGATGAGGCCACCGGTTGTAAGGGTGACAACGACCCGATCGATGTGATCGAAATCGGTTCCCGAGTGGCCGATAGGGGCGAAGTGATCAAAGTTAAAGCGTTGGGCGTAATGGCGCTCATCGATGAGGGAGAGACCGACTGGAAGGTGATTGCGATCGACGTTCGGGACGAGTTGGCCGCTCAGCTGAACGACGTGCGAGACGTGGAGATGCTTAAGCCGGGCCTCATTAGAGCGACTTACGAGTGGTTTAAGATCTATAAGATTCCGGACGGAAAGCCGGCGAATGAGTTCGCGTTCAACGGCGAGGCAAAGGATCGCGAGTTCGCAGAGAAGACGATCGCTGAGACTCACAAGTATTGGCAAGAGTTGGTGAACGCGTCCTCCAACGCAACGGATCTGGACTTAAAGAGCACTACTTTAGGCAACTCTTCGAAGATTGATAATCAAAACGCTATCGAAATCATAAATCAAAGGCAAGAGTCGGCGAAAGCGGTGCCAAAGCCTATCGACGATCAGACGGCTATTGATAAATGGTATTACATTACACTACCCTAACCATTGACACACGACTACCCGGCCGTCAGTCTCTATACAACAGAGTCAATGGTGTTGTCAACTATAAAACAAACAGCATTTCGGGCTTCAATTTAAACCTCTCTATTTTGATATCTAAGTTATAACTATAATATAAATACTACTGTTATATATATGAGACTCTGTGTTGCCGTCATTTGCAGCGAAAATTTCTATCGAATAAAAGTATAAATTATTAGAATTGAAAGCCTTTTCTCACATATTCTTACGGTATATAAAGTGAATGCTTTGCAAAAATATATCAAATATATTCGGAGCCCTCTATTCGCAGCCTCTATTGTATGCAATCATTTGTCAAACTTTGACTGTTCAACAACTTATGATTTATTTGTCTTTAATTTGTAAAACCATTACTTTTCTCTCTTTTTTTCGTATATATACACAGCCTTTGGGCCATAAATTCACTTATAATTACATTCAGAAAAAGTTCTTAATTTGTTACATAAAAAAAAGAGTTGTCATAAAAAGTATAATTACTATTATTATTACAATTGGAGAATAGGTTTGGCTTTTTTGGCCCGATTTCTATCTCTTCTGAATTTCTTCCTTCGCTTTAATTTAATAATGTTGTCGATTGTGATGTTCTCTGCGGTGAACTCCAATTGAGTGCCATTAGTCTCTCGCAGCAAATGATGTTCTCTTCCTCTTTGGGCCGTCTTTTTTGCAATCTTTTTCATTTTGCGACGAATTCTTCGCTGTCGTGACCTTTCGTTCGTTTCATGTGTTGTTTGACTTCTCGGTTGCATCGGATTATTGATCTGTCGGTGCGTTTCAGTGCGAGTGTGTGCAGAGCCTATAGCGTGAGAAGGCCTGCGAGGACTGTGTTGTGGGGGAGAGAAGGCATCCAATAGAGGGGACGACGAGTCGTTGAACACAGTGTGCGATACTCTTCTTCCCTCCCAATTTTTGGGACCATTTCTGGCGATAGGAG